CTATGCTATGACTTACGTGCTTCGAATATTTTAAGTTAACGAGAAAGGATCCCTCGTTGCACCATTACAAATGTTATGGACGTGTCTTTGTCTCCATTTTGCATACATATTCTATACTATCGATACTAATATTATAAATGCGAAAGTAACTCTGTCTGTCTGTCTCTCTTTTACGTCTAAACCACTGAACCGATTTTAATGAAATTTGGCATAGAGATAGTTTGAGTCCCGGGAAAGGACATAAAATATGATAGTTTTTATCCCGGTTTTTGAAACAGGGACGCGCGCGATAAAGTTTTTCTGTGACCGACTAAATTCCACGCGGGCGAAGCCGCGGGCGGAAAGCTAGTAGATGATATTTAGTTATAACTTTATTGTACACAATATCGTACAAAAGGAAAATTAATGCCACGACATTCTCTTCCAGTGAACCCTTTGGGCTAAACAGAAAGTTAGAGAGAAATGTATGTAATATATCATCCTAAAAAATATCAACCGAATTGAGAACCTCTTTTTGTTGAAGTCGGTTAAAAGTGTACTACTAAATAATTTAATCTTTGAACAGAAAGAAGGAATCCTTCCTTTCCAGTATTTTCCTAAATATTGTAATTTCTTTCTACTACTTTTTACTAGAGTTAAGTCTTCTTAGGTAGTCCTATCATCTGATACTTAACTCAAGTAGTCCTAAAACCTCTGAACCATTCGAGAATATAGCCCGTATTCACAAACATTACTATGCGCGTGGACGCACAGGGTGACACACGAACCAATCACAGAGCTCTATTCAACGCTATGCGTTCGATTTGCTGCTTCACTTAGGCTGAGTTGCACCACCAAACTTTGACCGTAACTATTACGATAACCGGTGTATTTTGTATGAGTTTTGACAGATTTTGGACGTTTGTCAAAGTAAGATGGTGCAACCCAGCCTTAAACAAGCATCGCTTGTGAATACTATACCTCTAGCATGAACAACTTTCGTCTTCGAATCGTTTGCGTACTCGATAAAATTCGATACTCAATCTTCGAATTAAAAGATAACGTGACAATTTTGACTCTCAAAATAAGTTTCGTGCAACCACATCTCATACTAAGTTCACTATACGACACGTTCACAAGGACGCTGTTGTAGTTTTCTTACTAAATCTTTTGATGGCGATTCGAGTACGCAAACGATTTGAACCCGAAAGTTTTTCGTGCTAGCCGTACCGGCTCTCCGAGTGTAACTCGAGAATCGAATCCCAGATCCAGGACATTGACAGCTCTTCGTCAATTTCCTTAACCGTATAGTTTTAAACTAGTTTACCAACAATGTTGTAATGTCCACGCTGCGCGGCGTAATGTGATAAAACCTGTTCGGTTTATCTAACCTGAGCCTGAGACAAGGAAGTAATGGGATACAGGTGAAAGCTTGACTATGGACGTTGTTCTTGATATTTAATAGACTCTACCCTGACGAATAAGAAATAAAGATTGACCGAATATTATCGGAAACAAGTGCTTTTAGCACTAATAAGTTCCAAACTAATAAGTAAAATTTTATAAAAAAAAATAAAACCGACTCCAAAAAACCTACACTAAAACGTCGAAAAATAATTACTAATTACCTACTTATTTATTAGGACGAATTATTAATATTTATGTAGGTATACCATGATTGATACTTCTGTACCTCTAGTAGGAAAAACTTTCGAGTTCGTTTCGTTGCGTATTCAAAGTGTCATCGAAAAATTTTGTATGAAAAATTAAACAGCGCCCCCTAGGGCGGCTATAATATAGGGGGCGCTGTTTAATTTTTCATACAAAATTTTTCGATGACACTGAATACGCAAACGAAACGAACTAGAAAGTTTTTCGTACTAGAGGTACTGGAGTCGGTGCCAAGATTATGAAACATGTAAAGTTTGCCTGCACCGACTCCAAAAGTATCAATCATGGTATACCTACATAAATATTAATAATTCGTCCTAATAAATAAGTAGGTAATTAGTAATTATTTTTCGACGTTTTAGTGTAGGTTTTTTGGAGTCGGTTTTATTTTTTTTTATAAAATTTTACTTATTNTAATTGTTATTTAATTTGAAATCTACCTAATCAATTTAATTTCAGAAACCACTTACATTAGTGTTATAAATCTAGATTTATTATAATAATATGTAGATTCAGTAAAATAGTAATATTTTATGTAAAAATTAATGAATTTAAAAATGGCATCACCGTACGTGATCTACATAGGTAGTTCTTATTTCTAATCTCGAGGACAAAGCACGAGCATAATATCTAATAAATGTAATAATTTTAAATATAATTCCATATTTTATTAAATCAAATAAACTAAACACACTCTAGTCAACTGTAAGTGGTGTAGTATAGTTTGGAGCGAAGACGGAATCCATCCACGACACAAACTATACACGATCAGTACGCAAAATTCGTGTATAGTTTGTAGTGACCGACTTACAAAGAGACACTCCAAAATATACACGAGCAGTTTCCTATGGGTGCGTTCTGGCCATGTATAGAACGGAAAGACGCCTCGATGTTAAGTTATGCGTAAAATGTCGGAAGTGGCGAGTGTTACACAACCTGTCTTCAGCTATGATTGACATGACATTAGCAGTTGTAACACTTGTAGTGTGATCAACTGATCATCTGTGATGTAACTTAGGAGACAAATAAGCGGAGCGAAGCTGATTCTTAAGGTGCTATTCAGAGGGGTGCTGCAAAAAACGGCACTTACAGGGCAGATATGTACCATCCTAGACTGCATCCCACTTATCATCAGGTGCGATTGTGGTCAAATACCTGCCTTACACTAGTAGCAGGCCACCTACTAGATGGACCGACGATCTGGTAAAAGTCGCGGGAAGAGCCTGGATGCGGGCAGCGCAGGACGGTTCATTATGGAAAACCTTGGGGGAGGCCTTTGTCCAGCAATGGACGTCATTTGGCTGCGAAGACGACGACGACCTGCCTTGTTATGCATAAAAAACAGCTACACGTGCTATCTGTACTTCTGCAGCTGCTTTCGAAATGCCATTACGCTAATTCCCATTGGTCTACTGTCATGTAAGTCACCTGAAATCAAAACCCTGGGGTCAGACTTCTAGAGCTGCCTTAATTAGGGAACTAAAACCCGTTTTCACCATCAATCCCTAATTTTAAAGTGACCCCTATGGTAACACATAACAGGAATTTTGTTAACATGGGTGTCACCTTAAAATTAGGGATTGATGGTGAAAACGGGCATTACTCTTAAAAACGGTCCGCTTATAATGTCAGTTGCCGTTTTCAAATTTGAAAACTTTAGGTTATTCTGTGATACCTCAGTCCTCATCCACAGTCTTGACGCTTGGTATAGTCACAGAACACAATAAAAAAAAGTCTGCTTACTTTTCGCAAATAAACAATATATTCAACCTCTTCAACCTCCCATAATAATATGCTTCTCTACATAATATTAGCAAATTGTCTATGCTATGACTTACGTGCTTCGAATATTTTAAGTTAACGAGAAAGGATCCCTCGTTGCACCACTACAAATGTTATGGACGTGTCTTTGTCTCCATTTTGCATACATATTCAACGCTATCACATATCTATACTAATCTATACTATCGATACTAATATTATAAATGCGAAAGTAACTCTGTCTGTCTGTCTTGCTTGTACGCCTAAATCACTGAGCCGATTTTGATGAAATTTTGCATAGAGATAGTTTAGTCCCGGGAAAGGACATAGGATAGTTTTTATCACGGTTTTTGATACAGGGACGCGCGCTATAAAGTTTTTCTGTGACAGACAAAATTCCACGCGGGCGAAGCCGCGGGCGGAAAGCTAGTAGATGATATTATTTAGTTATAACTTTATTGCTCACAATATCGTACAAAAGGAGAATTAATGCCACGATATTCTCCTCTAGTCAACCATTTGGGCCAAACAGAAAATTAGAGAGAAATGTAGGTATGTAATTTATCATCCTAAAAAAATATCAACCGAATTGAGAACCACTTTTTGTTGAAGTCAGTTAAAAGTGTACTTGGTACTACCACAGAATAATAATTATCCTGCTTTCGCCTCCGAGATTTATTTTACCATGTAGTACCCCTGTACGACAACCCAATCCGCACACAATATTCAGCGTAGTAGTATTAAAAAACAAAAGAGCGGGCAACCCCACCCCTACCACGCTGTGGGCTCGGTGTCCGAGCGGTCTCATTCCTTTGTGCGCACGCGCAACGACCGCACGCAGTATAAGAAAAATGCTTAAGTGACGTCACCAGGACGTTTTTACCGAAAAAAAACGTAATTATTTTAAGTTGTGCAGTGTAGTGACGAGAATTAGACAAAAAAAATTGGTTCATAATCGGCGGAGATATTGCGTATAAAAAAGTTCATCCCCAATTTTCCACCCTTGGGGGTGAAATATTTTCTTCAAATTCGCATGAAACCACCCTTTTGATAATACCTATTCAACAAAAAAATAATCGTTCAAATTGGTTTATAATCGACGGAGATATTGCGTATAAAAAAGTTCATCCCCAATTTTCCACCCTTGGGGGTTGTTTTTTTTATTATTAAATTTAAATGGGACCACCCTTGAGGTATTACCTATACGTCGAAAAAAGATTTGTTCAAATCGGTTCATAATTGGCGGAGTTATCGCGTAACAAACATAGAAAAAAAAAAACATACGGGTCGAATTGAGAACCTCCTCCTTTTTTGAAGTCGGTTGAAAAGGAGATGATAAGAAAATAAAATATACACACAAAACCGCTATTTTCTAAGTCAATTTGAATTTCCAGACATATTGCCGGTTTTTGTGTAAAAAAAAAATATTATCATTGTAACATAAGCACGGACATCGGACATCCTCCGCCATCTGTTGGCAGCGTATGGAACTTTTATAACTTAACTACCACTCACTAGATGGCAGCGCTATAATTATTGTGAAAATCCCAAAATTTTACTAAACATTTTATATTTATTGTTACAGATTCCTTCGTCAATAGTCAAGAATGGACGGCATCAAGAGGAGTAACAGAACTGAGGGTGGGAGTGCTGGGTTCCCCAGACAGTGGGAAATCAGCACTAGTACACCGGTACCTCACTGGCGCGTATATGCAAGAGGAAAGTCCTGAAGGTATTTACATAATATTTTAATTACTAATTTTACAGTTTACAAAGAAGATTATAAAAAATATTTTACAATGATGCTCTTAACGCCATCTAGTGAAATTTATTCTAACTGCTTCAAGCACACCCAAGCATTTGTCAACGTTTAGTTTGGCTACTCACCGCTAGATGGCGCTTATAGTGATGGTTTGATGGAGCACTTAGTTTCATATATTCCACTAGATGGCAGTGCTTCATTTATTTATTATACAATAGATGGCACTAGTGATTATTATAAGAGTTTTAAGTTTTTAGTTCATTGAACTTTTATGGGCAATCATTTTGGTTTTCTGTGTGGCGTGGGTGGGAGTGACACCATAAACCATGGAACAATTTTCGCCCACGCCAACATTTATTTCTCATGGGTACCATACCATACCATAACATTATCTTCACAGAGCAGAGGTAATTTCACATAGCCTTTATAGTGGACTATTTTACCGACGAAAAAATCAGAGTAGTTTCTAAACCAACCACGTGCCTAGTAGGTACCACAAAATTCTACTTAAAACTACATAATACATAATTATTTCTTTTAAACTGGGTTTTTTGATAGTCTTACTACTCTAATCTTACTACTAGTCTCTACTTTACTATACCTTTACCTTATTACATGTAATTAAGTAATTAAATTGTGCAATTAGGTCATGTAATCAAAACATATTATGTAAAAAGTTAGTTATTATTTAGGTCATTGACGATAAATTAATGAATGAAGATTACACGAAATAGGTACGACGACGTACCTAAGGTAAAAATACATGATTTGATAGGATATTAGTTTATTAATCTAAGGATATTAGATCATTTAAGTTTTATAGATTTTTTATTTTTTAGGTAGGGTGATCGCTATAGTAATTAGCCAATACATAGTTATTGACCAACTTGCCTAAAATATAAAGAAACAAGCCTAATGGAAATTATTAAGAGAGGAAAAGATAAAAATAGTTTTTCTGAGCAATACGCAGTCCAATGTAGTAAATATTTTTGTCTCTTACTTATTCACAATCCAATATACCAATAACTATGTATACCTAGGCTAATTATAGCAATCACCCTAAATCATCTACGGTCATACATAGTAGAAGCCGACATGGAATTTAAGAATATTGCAAATTAAACATAACTGTAAAAAACTTAAAAAATATCGAAAAATCGAATTGCCTGAGGTGGAAATCGAACCCACGACCTTTCGCTTGCCTCTAGAAACTAACCTTAATATTTATTTACAGGGGGCCGCTTCAAGAAAGAAGTGATAATCGACGGGCACAGTTACCTTCTACTAATACGAGACGAAGGGGGACCACCAGAAATGCAGGTGAGTTTGAAACATCCTGAGTTAGAAGAAAAATTGCTAGCCATGATGGCTAGTGGCTACCACATCACACACTTACGCCCATATTCACAAACATTACTATGAGGTCTCACAGTGCGCGTGGACGCACAGGGTGACACACGAACCAATCACAGAGTTCTATTCAACGCTGTACGTTCGATTTGCTGCTTCACCTAAGCAAGCATCGTTTGTGAATGTCAATTGTTTTAAAAAATCCATTGCAAAAATTAGATATTCTGATCTACCGCTACCGAGGCAACCCACACAGTTTCTATAACGGCTAGTAAGTAGGCCTACTTACCTGCCATAAATATGATAGGGGTAGTAAATTATTAATTGATCATACTGTACTATGTAGTATGTAGAGCTCAGACGAAAACACTAGCGGATAGGAAGGCCTTGTAATTATTATGCTAAATTAAGTAAAATACTTGACAACGGAGTGATAACCAACAGAAATGTTAACTAAAAACATAAGCTGCCTATTTCATTTTAATAAACAAACTAGACTGATTTTAACGAAATCCGTAATTTTCTCGAACCAGAAAATGACCGCCACTAATTTCCGTAAAAGCAAATTGGAGCTATTAAATTGTCCTAACAAACTACGGGGGTAATTAGAAGCTAATGCAAAGGGTAAGAAACCCCCTGCTTGGAATCGAAAGCTATAAAATATTCAACATGCCTACTGATTGGCTCGCATGTTGGCTGACAATGTCAGTTTCTCCACGGGGAAATGTCGTCAATAAACCCGGTGCCAGTTCTACTTGTATTTGGAAATAGTTCGACTGACCCAGAATTAGGCGGGCGAGTTTCCATTGTCTTGATACAGCTAACAAAATTACAAGATTATCGGAACAGTTGTGTGATATGCCTGTAAAAGACATCCATTCATCATGGGACATCCATTAAAGTTGTTGTTGGTAATGCTAGAATTCATACTCTTACAACTCGTTGCGCTCGCAAAGTCGTTTCAGACACTGTTGGACAAAGGCCTTCCCCAAATATTTCAACCTCGTTAGCTCCTGCACTGGCTGCATCCAGGTGCTTGTCGCAGTCTTCCTTCACCAAATAATGTCCACCGAGTGAGAGATAAGCACATGAATACATCCCTTTCTTACCTTCTTCTTAGTCGGGCACTCTTATCAGAGTGGTCGTGGTTGCGCTGACGAGATACACGGTGGGGTGTTCGATGTCTTCTCCGAGGGTACTCTTCTTGCGATGTGCTTCCATTTCTGACGGTTAGAGGCGTCGCGAGTACACTGGACCACAGTGGACTCAGTAGCCTTCTGAAATTTTTAATTCATAGTAATTTACTAGCGTCACGACATTTTCATCGTGCTATAATGCAACCGCGCCGCGTGCATGGCGCTATCGATTCGTGCTATAAAGGTTTTAATAGACGCATCCATGTATTTACGCGACCCTCGTTTATGGTCGTGTCCCCTTTTATGCTGCTTTCAGTTTACGATATTTGAGCGTAGTGCGGTTTTATAATGGTGCTATTCGTGCCTGATATCTCTTTACAATATAATTGACAGTGGAAAAGCCAACGTTTTAAACTTCTATTTGCTCTACATTATCTTTCAGGTCTTCTCTAGGTTTTCCGACTTTAGTTTTAGACTTTATTTGAGCACTCAACTGATGAAAATCCTATCTCTTTATCGTTCGGTGTTAACGTGCGTGATGTTACAAATTAAACCATAACAATATCAGCTTATCGAAAATGGGATCCACAGGTACTTACAAAATTAAGTTGTGCAGTGCGTCACATAAGTGGCTGTTGGTACTGTGGTTAAAATAGTCCAGTGTGAAACCCCCTTTAGCGGACTGACGTTTATGGCCCTTGTGAAACATGCACCAGTGATAGTTGATGCAACTCTTCAGTTTTACGACCTGTAAAAAGTTTTGAGAGCAAAGAGGGCGAGTTAACTTTATGCCTATCGTTATTCATTCGGTACCTACCAGTACTTCCATTTAACCAGTAAGGTACCTACCAGTTCGTTCGTTCGTTTCAGCCAAATGACGTCCACTGCTGGACAAAGGTCTCCTCCAAGGTTTTCCACAATGCACGGTCCTGCGCTGCCCGCATCCAGGCTCTTCCCGCGACCTTTACCAGATCGTCGGTCCACCTAGTAGGAGTACCTACCAGTACTTCCATTTAACCAGTAAAAAAAAGTCTATGAAATCACTCTTCTGTGGTCCAATGATAAATCTGGTTTCAGAGATTCTGAAATCGATCCTGGTATCGGGAGAGATTTCAAAAATCACAGTGTATTTGTTCAAGCTTGAATCAATATGCACTAAAAAGAAAAGAGCTTTGGAGGGCTTCATTCATTAGTCAGTCCGATGAAATTGCCATATCTGACTCTATGTGCTGAAGCAGTGACGTCAGTTGTAACAGCGCATACAACATTTTAGAGAAGGATAAGATTAGTTCTGAACACATTTTGTTAATTAACAACCCTAATCAAAACTCAAAATAATTTGCTGTCCAAAAGTTACATAAGCTGAAAACTTGCATGCGAGTGTTTACCGTACAGCTACGCGTATTTGCTAAGAACTCAAAAAATGCTTCCACTCTTTATTCAGTTATTCTAGAACAGTCTTAAACAACGTTTGCATCAAAGTTTTACCGAAATAGGAGACACAATGGCTCTAAACGAATTCAATTATTTGGGCCGTCATTTCAACATTCATGGCCCGTTCCAAAGGAATGCAAGGACGCGGAGACATCCAGTCGGCCGCAGAAAAGAACCCAGATACAACTATTTGGACTGTATTTTGCAGAGGCTTATTTATTTGGACGACTTCTATTTATTACTACTATAACTACTAGCTGTGCCCGCGACTTCGTACGCGTCAAAATAGTTTGAATATTTTTTTTTGCAACATCTTCTTTATTGCTCTTCTGCCCCTATTAGCTGTAGGGTGATGTTATAGTTTATTTAAAGTAGGTATTGCCTAAATACTTTTTCAAAACCTGAGATTAGTGCGTTCAAGCAAACAAACAACCTACTATTTATTACCTAAGTAGTTGGTATTGACTAAGTTTATTAATTGCATTTCTACTGACAGTTTACATGACTTTCTTAGATCATCTCTCTGTAAGCTAGCTGTTCGTTTCAGTTGAAAGACGTCCACTGCTGGACAAAGGCTTCTCCTAAGCTAGTTGTAAGTAAAGCTAAATTATGACAAACAATTCAAATTTTGAACCATTGATTGTTTTTTTACAGAAATACCAATACCTACTTTGTTTTCGAGTATTTTGAGTAACTGTGGGTGGAAACCTGACTCAATGTCGCTTTCTAAAGTTTTATCAGTAGGCGTGTAATTAGAACGCGTTTTTATTGAGTTTGTCCACGCGTCTAGAAATAAAAGGCAAACGCTGTAGCTTCCAAATATGGTCAGATATTTAATTAATTAATATCGCCCACTTGCCAATAGTATTGTACGGTCTAACATATTTTATATGTCGTTGTCTAGCCCAAATTTAAATACTTCAACATCATTAATGTATCTGGGTGCTGAATAATTATCCTTAGAATGCCCTCAATTGGAAATAATGATGATAAACCAAACAGAAGTGTGAAAACGAAGTGTCTGGAATATCTGAAAATACCTTTTTGGTACCTATTTAATTAACCTGTCACAAATACTTTGGAAACCTGACTGGCTGGAATATCTCTGAAAATATGTACATTTTTGGTATTTTTATGAACCTGTCACAAATACTTTGTTGATGTTATATTGGGACGAAAGGTTGATCTATTTTTGCTCTCAAGTATATTAGTATACCAACCGCTCATCGAGTTAATAAATAGGACCTTATGTAGTCGCAACAAGTGCGGTTTTACGACTTTATTGTGTGGTGTATAGTGCTGCTGTACAGCAACTTCAGAACAAAAGGCTTTCCTACAGTCGCCCACGCCCGTCCTCCATACCATTGTTTATTCATAGGCTCATAAGATTATGGGGTATTAATAAAATCGATAAAGGCTGTGTTCTTAGTTATAAAAGGCTGGTCAGCTTAATGAAGATTATTGTTGTTTACAATGAACTTCGATGGGCTTCTTAAAGTGTAATTTCGGCAACTTTTAATAGCAACTCCATTTGTTCATTCTACAGATTTTAGGCCACCACTTGCTCCATCAGTGCCATAAATAAAAGACTGACGTCTTTTCAGACTATCGGGTAAATTTCAGCCTGAAATTTTCCACTATGTAATTCAAAATTTCATATTTAATTAAAGGATATTCGTGGGAGATTTCATATTCTTTTTTTTTATATTCAAGAGAAGTTACCCAGGGAAGTTATTTGTATCAATGACGATCTTGGGAACAACCCTCAAAAAAGTTATTTTTCAGTATGGGTTTCACGTGAAAATGGAACACGCGCCAGATCCAAGGTTATGAACACGGACGTGCTACTCACCTTTTGTAGTCCATTTATTATTTGATGAGTGTTTCTTCTTCTTTTTCTAAATAAACTGGAATTACCTATGACAAAAAGTACCTTCTACTCGTACTCTACCTTCCACCTTCGTTATTCGCATGACTGGAGTCTAGGCCCTCGATAAGGGCTTCAAGTCTGAACAAGCTGTGCCCCCGGCGTTGTTCATCGATTTTAATTAAAGCACAAGGATTATCGCCTGCAGTGGAACTGGATTTATGCGTCTGCAGCGGATTTAGAGAGAATTGATGTTTTGGAGATTTGAATGTTTGAAATTTAGAGTTGTGTTGCTCTTAAGATAATAGAATCAGAGAAGATTTAGGTTCGATTTCCAAGGAGACATTTGGTAAGATAATACCCGTTAAAACCTGTTTAAATTAATTCAAAGACAATACCCGGTTAGAGCCTTTCAAGCTTGAATCAATCTAATTTGTCTGAAAAGAATGTATGACACTAGCATAAGGTGCTATAACTGTGTTGCTAAAATCTAGTGGCAGTGCGCGGGGCACATATTATAGCTCGCAGAGCTG